AAAAAGTGAAAAAAAACTCACGTAAAATTTGACGTGTTTTACGTGAGTTGACTGTCCGGCACGTAAGTTCATGACGTGAGTTTTTTTTTTTTTTTTTTTTTTTTAGTTTTTGGAAGTTTCGCTTGGTTATTCCAACCGAATTTGTGTGAGTTTCCAGAATTTTATCGAGTTTTATCAAGTTTGTTGGAAGATTTGATATTTGTGCGAACTAAACCCGAATCCTGCCAGGCAATATTTCACGTCACATCGCACATGTAACTGAACCTCTAAAAATTTCACGTAACGTGGGATTTGCACCGCGTTTTGAAAAAGGGCAAAAAACGTGTAACTTAACCTCTCTATTTACATAAATAGATGCGTTATGTTTTGGTGATGCACGCTGTCCTTACAACCGCTGGGCTGTGCCAACCCGCTGACATAAACGTATGACACGTACAACAATGTACAGATGCATTCGCCCATTGCAAACACTGCAAACACGATTCCATGGGGATTTAGAAGCCCGTGGCAACTGTGTGCTATTATGTATTTGCAGTACAAGAAGACTTTTAGGTCTATACCAAGGGGTTGTCAAAAGGTATTTTGAAGTCCGCATAATCACATGCATAATTCTGTTTTGTGTGTGTTATTCACGTGTGTGTTAGTCATGTGGTTGTTGGTCACGTGGGTGTTGGTCACGTGGGTGTTGGTCACGTGGTTGTTGGTCATGTGTGTGTTAGTCATGTGGGTGTTGGTCACGTGGGTGTTGGTCACGTGTGTGTTAGTCACGTGTGTGTTGGTCACGTGGGTGTTAGTCATGTGGGTGTTGGTCATGTGTGTGTTGGTCACGTGGGTGTTGGTCACGTGTGTGTTAGTCATGTGTGTGTTGGTCACGTGTGTGTTGGTCATGTGTGTGTTAGTCACGTGTGTGTTGGGCATGTGTGTGTTGGTCATGTGGGTGTTGGTCACGTGGGTGTTGGTCACGTGTGTGTTAGTCATGTGTGTGTTGGTCACGTGTGTGTTGTTCATGTGTGTGTTAGTCACGTGTGTGTTGGTCACGTGGGTGTTAGTCATGTGGGTGTTGGTCATGTGGGTGTTAGTCATGTGGTTGTTAGTCATGTGGGTGTTAGTCACGTGGGTGTTGGTCATGTGTGTGTTAGTCATGTGGGTGTTGGTCACGTGGTTGTTGGTCACGTGGTTGTTGGTCACGTGGTTGTTGGTCACGTGGTTGTTGGTCACGTGGTTGTTGGTCATGTGTGTCTTAGTCATGTGTGTGTTAGTCATGTGGGTGTTGCTCTTGAATTATCAGTGTCTAAAGTTTGTTCTCCATGTGTTTGTATTGGCCCCTGCATGTAGACTCCGCTGCAGATTCACCGTCTGCACATGCGGGCATCACAAGCACAGCTACCAGACCGACAACAAGACAGAGCTTGAAAGTTCCGCAAGTCAAGCCAGGAAATATTGATTGTGTCTTCTGTGGGAAAGCTAAGAGACAGCTCCCTGGAAAGAAGAACCAGTATCAGACAACGTCATTGTGTCAAAGCGAAAATGCTGCGGAGAAGATTTTGTTGGCAGCTGATTTGAGAGACGATGAACGAGTAAAGATAGCAGTTGGAGCGTTATCCAGTTTGATTTCTCGAGAAGTTCGTTATCACAAGCTATGCTATAATGAGTTCACCGGTCAGAAATCTCTGGATGCCCTTGCAAATACGAAATCCTGCAAAGCCAAGAGCAATATTTCGGATGTTGAGGCCAATTTCTTCGCACTACTGGAAAGCCAACTGATAAAGAAGAAGATGCGCTTGTCTATGGCAGACTTGAAGCGACAGTGCGATGGTTGCTTCAGCGCTGCAGGAGTTCTCAGTAATGTCCGCAAGGACAAACTTAAAGCCCACATCAAGAGGCATTTCGGAGAGAGTGTGCAGTTCATCAGGCCCAGCCGCGCCAATGAACCTGAACAGGTGTTCGCAACCCAGTACAGTCAGGAACTTCCACGAGAGTCGGTTAGCCAACATCGTCATGATGGCGATGATAGTGATGATTGCTACAGCTGTAACAGTGACGAAGGTGATGACGAAGGTGATGACGATGGTGATGATAGGAGTGATACTGATGTTGCTAATGATGATTGCGCATTCTTGAACCCTGAGGAGGGCGCTGCTGATAGCCATGGTCCTCCAGCCAAAGAGGCACCACCTTCAAGCACGCCTGATGGACCCTTGGCAGGCAATGAATGCGGACTTGAGGAGTGGCGCATCATCTACCATGCAGCACTAATAATTCGCCGAGAAGTAGACACAACTGTATCAACAGCCAAGAAATCACAATCAGGTGAGTGACTACTGAAGTAGCTATGGTAATCAACATGCATATAAATGGTGCACTGCGTATTGTATATGCCCTTTTGACATTCTGAGAAATTAGTAGACATAACTGCAATACAATAGTACATCCAAACTCTGTACAGAACTATAGTGCTCATTCCATGAAATGCTATTTCTAGATGACAATATTGGAAATCATTGTCATTAGCTTATTCTGGAATATAACATAATTATTATGTTTGTACTGATTTCAATTTCAGTCAGAAATAGTGTTGCAATTTTTACAACATTGGGGAATTTTGCTGTGCTCTTATTTTTCTACTACAGATGTTGATGTAGTTCCCGACGTTCTCTTTAACCTTCTTACATGGGTAATAGCAGACAAAGGCAGCATCGAGTTCAGCACCAAGCGGACGGCAAATCTTGATGACCATACTGCACGTCGTATCTCCTCTACTGGCAATGATATTGTCTTCTCGGCCGCTGCCTACCCAACCAAGAAGCACACCACTCTAGCCATGGCCCTGCACCACTTATTTCGCAGCAAGCTAGTTGTCACCGTTCTCAACCGCCTTGGACACTGCAGCTCGTATAGTCAAGTGCAAGAGATCGAGACGAGTCTTGCAACCCAGCATGCCCTGAATGCCAACGAAGTCTCTCTCCCACAAGTTGTCGACCCGAAACGGCCATTCCATTTCGTTTGGGACAATAGCGACTTGTGTGAGAAGAGTTTGTCTGGAAAAGGCACAACGCACTGTACGAATGGTATTGTTATACAACGAAATGTCCCTGATGACAGCCTCATCAACTCCACACCAGTCTCTGCTGTTCGCTCATCAAAGCGTAAGCGTTCCCTGCCAACGCATCCAATGATATTACCAGTGTTTCCCTCGGGGAAATAAGGTCAATCCACCACCCATGGCCATGCCATCTGACTTCAACCTCGCTATTACCACCCAGGTCAATGGAGTTCAGCCAGCACTCATTGATTTCCTGTGGATTCTTGCTAGAATGTGCCCAAGTGGAGATGTTGGACACCCAACTGCAGTGAAAGAAGATGCGCAGTGCGTAGTCGAGGAGTCTCAGTTACAAGTGGTTCCAGCCGGGACAGCTTTTAACTCACTACTGTGCAAGGAATCAACTCCACCGCGATCGACTGTAGCATATTGTCCTGTGATCAGTGCATCGCCAACCGACAGTGCCACAGTATATGCGCTACTGTCACAGTCAGTGTCCATGACTCGGAAGGCTGAGCTCCCATTCTGTGTGATTGTCTTGGACCAAGCAATTTATGCGAAGGCCACAGACATTGTATTGCAGAGGGCATCTGAGTTTAGTGACGTTGTTCTGAGGATGGGCGGTTTCCATATCTGCATGACACTGCTCGCAATCATTGGAAAGCGTTTCTCCGATGGTGGCCTACTCAACCTGTTGGTAGAAGCTGATGTGGCTGGATCCTCAACAGCAGGTTTAGCGCTGAGTGGAAAGCAGTACAACCGGGCGGTGCGCTTCCATAAATTGGTCTATGAAGCAGGTGGTATCATCGGCATCAGCTTGAACCCATCTGCTGTACAACGCTGGGTCATGACGGCGCATGATCGTGCACGTTTTGCAGATTCCTGTCTCCAGCTCTGTGGACTTGACGACTGCTCCCGTGAGGCTGATGTGCTGCACAAAGAGTGTCATCTGCCACGCATGTCGAGAGATGAGGATGGTGTGCAACGTGTGGAGGCAACGATATGTTGGTGGTTCAACCCCTTTGGTGACGAAACGCTGGATAGGGATTCTGCCGACTTGGTCAACCTCTCGTCTGGTTTGATGTGCTCCGAGCAGACCACGAAGGACTTGCTTGAAGCAGAACAGCAGGGAAAGGAAGCATTTCAAAGATTCATCAAGAATCGCGTTGTCGACCAGTGTGACAAGTTCCACGACCCCATCCAGAAGCAGAAGCTAAGCACGTTTGCCGTCCGCAAGGAGCGTACCACCACCCGTAGTGCGTTGAAGGTAGCAGTGCTCAAGGCGGATTGTGCCCTGTTCAGTAAGATGGCTGTTATTGCCCAGCAGCGTCATCTTGACATTCGTGAGGTTCTTGCATATCCGCTTTCAGCTGCGCCCTTGTCGCTATGCACTGCAGAAGGCACCAGGGTGAAAACAAACAAGGCCGCACTGTTGCAGCTCCTCAGCAAGACGGATTGTACCAGCCATGAGCCAGCACCTCCATCTTCGGCTGCGTTAATCGTCGACGCCATGGCTCTGCTACGGACCCTGAAGCCGACTTCCTTGCCAGGTACGCTCGGAGAACTGGCAAAGCATGTGTTTATATGCCTCGCGAGGAATTTCCCGCAGTTTCGCCGAATCGACTTTGTAGCTGATACGTATCCAGAATACTCCATCAAAGATGTTGAGCGAAGTCGACGAGCGCAATCGCATGGTGAGATCCGGCTAAGAATCTCAAGTGGACAGCAGCACACGCCGAAGCAATGGGCTAAGTTCTTGTCAAGTGGCAGCAAGACTGAGCTTGTTAGCTTCCTTGTTACGGAATGGTCCACCGATGCCTACGCCAGCCACCTGAAAGCTAGACAGCTGTACGCAACAGACGGTATCAGCTGCGTCAAGCTAGTGTCACCTGATGGCCTCACCACCACAGCAACAGAGTGCTTACGGCTGAACTGCTCACATGAAGAGGCCGCAGACACTCGGCTTCTGCTGCACGCTCGTGATGCTTGTACAGAAGGCTATACTTCGGTCACGATCAAGTCGCCGGACACGGACGTAGCGGTTCTGGGTTGCGGACTGAGCCACCGCTTTCCTGACAGTATGAAGCTCCTGTTTCTGCCTGGTTCTAGGAGCAAAGTCCTGCTCCTGAATCTCTCAAAGATTGGCTCTGCGCTAGGCACTTCCGTGTGTGACGCACTGATCGGCATGCATGCCTTTACCGGGTGTGATACGGTCAGTGCGTTCCACGGAAAGGGCAAGACCAGCGCTTATCAGCTCCTGACCAGTGATGGAAGCAAGGGAGACCTGGCACGAAGTTCAATGGCCGAACTTGGCAAAGCCTTCAACCCGCTGTCAGCAGGCGCCATGGCAGAAATCGAGCGGTTTGTCTGCATGCTGCATGGCCGGCCAAACCAGTCAAGCGTTAACAGCTTACGGTACGAGTTGTTTTGCTTGCTGGATAACGCCAAGGATTCGAGCAGACTGCCCCCATGCCACGATGCTCTGCGTAAACACGCAGCAAGGGCCAACTTCCAGGCGGCTGTTTGGTGAGGTGCTCTAGAAGCCCAGCCCCCTATCCCTGAAGCGTACGCTGGAAGCCATGGTTGGCAGCTGTCCAATGGCCAGCTGCGCATTGATTGGCTCTCGGTAGCTGCAGCACCACAAGCAATCTTGGAATTTGTGAAGTGTTCCTGCAAGACCGGCTGCCAAGGAAATAGATGCTCATGCCGCAGCCAATCCCTTCCCTGCACGGATGTTTGTGGATGCAGTAGCGAGTGTAGCAACCGCGAGGAGTCAGGTCATCCCATAATTCAAGAAGATGACGACACTGTCCAGTGTGAGTAATATTATTGTCTATTCTTCATCCAGGCTGGGTACCTCTTATTTGTGTTGAACTTCCTTGGCTGCAGGCAGTCACGGGTAATATATCTGATCCACCTTGTCTTTTGTTTGTTATGTTACAGAGCCGTTGGATTACTACACATGCCTGGTCCAAGATCTCCATCACCACAGCTGTCATCGTGTTGAGGCATTGGTGTAACATTTCTATCTGTTTAACTGCCTACAGACTGTACTTGCCCTGGCAACCTGGTAGGCCCATTCGATCATGCCACACACTCTTTCCACACTGTATATATTTTTCATGTTGATAACAATCACAGCATAATATCTGTAATGAGCCTAAGTGAACTGCAGTAGTCGTTGTCTTCCGTGATGTTTCCTCTGATACTGCTACTCTGGCTGGCTATGTTATGTGTAATTCGAAGTACATCAGACTCTAGGGTACAGTTTACGGATTCTGGTTGCCATGCGTTTAAGCAGCTCAATCAATGCTAATACATGGCCAATCGAAACGGTCTGTCCTCTGCATTGATGAAACGGGGCGTAGTGGTGCACCCATTGCATGAAAGTCTTTCCAGATAAGTTGTTTCAAGGCATGCTTCTAATCCATAATATATATAATATTCCAGGATTGATAACATCAGTCCTACCCATTATTAATGTTTCGTAAGAATCGTAACTGTTTCTGCGCTATTATTACAGTGTTGCCATGCTGTTGCTATGATGTTTGTTCTTGGTTACCATTGGTTACCATGGTAACCAAGTTCGAAAAATGCTCTGGGGTGCTTCAAATATTTTATGTAGTTGTTTGGCAGATAGAATTTTCCGGGATGAAAGTAATAGAAAATCGATTTTTGTGGTCAGTTGGCATGGTAACTAAAGGCAATTTCAATTGCATTTTTCACAACCTTTCAGAAAGTTCTGAGAATGACAACAAGTGGAAACATCATCTACGTATGCTCCTCTATCATAATTAGCAAAATAATCGTGGTACACCCCAAGTGGGAACGTGAAGTCACATTTTGCCCACTTGGCTCCTGTACTACCAGGTCTGGAGCGTTTGACTCGCGTGTAGAAATGCAAAGTGCCGTGACGTATCTTGCAGGCTTCGCATCTCGGGAACGCAGCATCGTGCCGCGATCGCGCATGCTGTATTGGATTCCTTGGAGTTTTGGATTGGATTGGATTGGATTTTTATTTATAGTGGCGACTATAACAGACAATTGCCTAATAACAATAGACCCACTCGAGGGAAAGATGCAAAAAGATATGAACAATTAATATAATAGACTACCGGTATTGGATAGGTGATGATGTTCGCATTTTGCATAGCTGAAAATCATAAGTACTAGCGTGAAAAAGCAAGGCATTGGGGTAACAGTTTCTTAAAACGGGCGGAGTTGTCCACACAGCGAGCTAGAGGGTGTAAATAATTCCACAGCTTAGCACCGAAGGAAGCGCCATGACGGGCAAAGGCAGTTCTGAGCATGGGCAACTTAAGAGTGCGTGATACAAGGCTGCGCGTTGCAAGACCATTATTTAAACGCTCGAACAATCGACTCAATGACACTACAGCGGCCTTCCAAACAGCGCTACGTCAGATACAGTAATTTCTTGCAATACATGGATGCCAAACGATCTAGACCAAGTCTCGCAAATAAAGGGCTTGATGGGCTACAAAAACCAGTATCGTACATTGAACGCAAAGCTCGCTTTAGCATTCGTTCAAGCCTACCTAACTGGGTTAAGGAAAGGCCAGCAGAAAAACAATTTGATGCATATAGAAAATCTGGCAACACTAGGCACTTTACAAAGGTTTCTCGGCAAGTCAGCGGAATATTGTGTCGATTTCGGAACAGAATACCAATTTTACTGGCAAGTTTGGTGACCATAGAATCACTTGCTTGAGTCCTCCAAGAAAGATCCTGATCCAAATGTATTCCAAGATACTTTGCACATGTCACTTGCTTTAGCTGCACTCCATGACAAGGTACTGCAAATTGGTGGTCAGTAATATGTGGCGTAGACAGGAAGAGCACTTGTGTCTTCCGGGCATTTAGAATTAAATTGCGGTTTGACAGCCAGGTACTAATGGCTGAGACAGCTGCAGACAGGGAGTTGCTAAGCGCAATCTTCTGCGTACCGCAAACATACAATAGAATATCGTCAGCAAATTGAATAACTTTCACACAAAACTCGGAGACAATGGACTTTTCTCTTCGATTTACATACTTGGATTGTCCCGAAAGACCGATATTTGACTGAAATACGACGGTTTGTAGCTTGGTTGTCCAGACGCACCAGTGGGTAAACTCGCCAACTTTCAAGTGCACTTTTCTGCACTGTACAGTTTTTGCGATAAGGTCTGTTTTCTCATCTGACGGCTAAATATTATATTTTATTTTTAAGTCTTAATTTATTATAATTTTATTATTATGTTAAGATGATGTCACACACATGCATGCATACACGCACACACAAACCGGCTGCCGACAACTACCATGCCAGTGACTAGAATGCAGTCTCCTAGGCACGCGCGCACGTGCACACACAAACACACGGACCAGCTGCCGAATCCGACTACCGTATTTCCACAAATAGTAGGCCGGTCTTAGCGGCGGTCTACTATTTTTTCAACCTCGTCCTAACCCGGCCTTATAATCGAGAACGGTCTTGTATTTGAGGACGGTCTTGAACCCAGTTTGCCCCCGGTCTTCTATTTGTCGCCACACAGTTTTACCCCCGTTCTTCCATTTTCTTCTACACTGTTTGAGCACGGTCTTCTATTTTTCCACAGTTTGAGCACGGTCTTCTATTTTTAACACAAGAACAAAGACTCATTTAGTAGGCCCGGTCTTCTAATCACAGACAGTCTTTTATTTTTCCAATCGCCCCCTGCGCCCGCCTTGTATACGAGGAAGGCGTTCTATACGAGGATGGCCTTTTATTTTGCGGAAATACGGTATGCAGTCTCCTAGGCACGCGCACGTGCACACACAAACACACGAACCAGCTGCCGAATCCGACTACAGTCAACTTCGCTAATGACGACTGCGGATATAACGACAATTCGCGAATAACGACAGAATTTCCATGCCCAGAGCAAAGTCCCATACCACTGTAATACATGTAATGAGACTTAAGGTATAACGACACTTCGCGAATAAGGACACCTTTTTGATGCCCCGCCGAGTGTCGTTATAAGCGAAGTTGACTGTATGCAGTCTCCTAGGCACGCGCACACGTGCACACACGAACCAGCTGCCGAATCTAACTATGCAGTCTCCTAGGCACGCGCGCACGTGCACACGCAAACAGAAGAACCAGCTGCCGAATGCGACTATGCAGTCTCCTAGGCACGCGCGCACGTGCACACGCAAACACACGAACCAGCTGCCGAATCCGACTTTGCAGTCTCCTCGGCACGCGCACACGTAAACACGCGAACACACGAACCAGCTGCCGAATCCGACTATGCAGTCTCCTAGGCACGCGCGCCATGCACACACGAACCAGCTGCCGAATCCGACTATGCAGTCTCCTAGGCACGCGCGCCATGCACACGCAAACACACGAACCAGCTGCCGAATCCGACTATGCAGTCTCCTAGGCACGCGCCATGCACACGCAAACACACGAACCAGCTGCCGAATCCGACTATGTAGTCTCCTAGGCACACGCGCACGTGCACACGCAAACACACGAACCAGCTGCCGAATCCGACTATGCAGTCTCCTAGGCACGCTCGCACGTGCACACGCAAACACACGAACAAGCTGCCGAATCCGACTATGCAGTCTCCTAGGCACGCGCGAACGTGAACACGCAAACACACGAACCAGCTGCCGAATCCGACTATGCAGTCTTGTAGGCACGCGCGCACGTGCACACGCAAACACACGAACCAGCTGCCGAATCCGACTATGCAGTCTCCCAGGCACACGCACACACGCAAACACACGAACCAGCTGCTGAATCCGACTATGCAGTCTCCTAGGCACGCGTGCACGCGCACACGCAAACACACGAACCAGCTGCCGAATCCGACTATTCAGTCTCCTAGGCACGCGCGCACGTGAACGCGCAAACACACGAACCAGCTGCCGAATCCGACTATGCAGTCTCCTAGGCACGCGCACACGTGCACACGCAAACACACGAACCAGCTGCTGAATCCGACTATGCAATCTCCTAGGCAGGCGTGCACGCGCACACGGAAACACACGAACCAGCTGCCGAATCCGACTATTCAGTCTCCTAGGCACGCGCGCACGTGAACACGGAAACACACAAACCAGCTGCTGAATCCGACTATGCAGTCTCCTAGGCACGCGCGCACGTGCACACGTAAACACACGAACCAGCTGCCGAATCCGACTATGCAGTCTCCTAGGCAAGCGTGCACGTGCACACGTAAACACACGAACCAGCTGCCGAATCCGACTATGCAGTCTCCTAGGCACGCGCACACGCAAACACACGAACCAGCTGCTCAATCCGACTATGCAATCTCCTAGGCAGGCGTGCACGCGCACACGCAAACACACGAACCAGCTGCCCAATCCGACTATTCAGTCTCCTAGGCACGCGCGCACGTGAACACGGAAACACACAAACCAGCTGCTGAATCCGACTATGCAGTCTCCTAGGCACGCGCGCACGTGCACACGCAAACACACGAACCAGCTGCCGAATCCGACTATGCAGTCTCCTAGGCACGCGCGCACGTGCACACGTAAACACACGAACCAGCTGCCGAATCCGACTATGCAGTCTCCTAGGCAAGCGTGCACGTGCACACGTAAACACACGAACCAGCTGCCGAATCCGACTATGCAGTCTCCTAGGCACGCGCACACGCAAACCAGCTGCCGAATCCGACTATGCAGTCTCCTAGGCACGCGCGCACGTGCACACACAAACACACGAACCAGCTGCCGAATGCGACTATGCAGTCTCCTAGGCACGTGCGCAGGTGCACACGCAAACACACGAACCAGCTGCCGAATCCAACTATGCAGTTTCCTAGGCACGCGTGCACGTGCACAAGGAACAACACGAACCAGCTGCCGAATCCGACTATGCAGTCTCCTAGGCACGCGCACACGCAAACACACGAACCAGCTGCTGAATCCGACTATGCAGTCTCCTAGGGACGCGCGCACGTGGACACGGAAACACACAAACCAGCTGCTGAATCCGACTATGCAGTCTCCTAGGCACGCGCGCACGTGCACACGCAAACACACGAACCAGCTGCCGAATCCGACTATTCAGTCTCCTAGGCACGCGCACACGCAAACATACGAACCACCTGCCGAATCTGACTATGCAGTCTCCTAGGCACGTGCGCACGTGCACACGCAAACACACGAACCAGCTGCCGAATCCGACTATGCAGTATCCTAGGCACGCGCGCACGTGTACACGCAAACACACGAACCAGCTGCCGAATCCGACTATGCAGTCTTCTAGGCACGCGCGCACGTGCACACGCAAACACACGAACCAGCTGCCGAATCCGACTATGCAGTCTCCTAGGCAAGCGTGCACGTGCACACGTAAACACACGAACCAGCTGCCGAATCCGAGTATGCATGATCTATGCGCTGTCCACACCAGTCTAGAAGAATAAATGGAAGATTTTCTGAACCAAACGTTTTCGTTCCCTTCTCATCATGGGCTCATACAGGGTAGAGTAACCTAGAGTATTACATCAGCTGCTGGAATGAGTTTGTATATCTATAAGTGACTGGAATGTAGAAATAAAGACTAACTTGAAATATATCTCTAAAATATTCAAACCTCCTCGGCCAAATGAGGTTGAGGACTCCGGCCTAGTGAAAATATTCCAATATATGTATTCATCAAATTCAAAAGAAAAATTTCATGTATCTGCATGACTATAAGTAGTAATTCTGCAACGAGCGTAGTAACCTGGTGTGGTCCTCTACAATTAGCTGTCTCTACTGTCTAACATACTAGACTATTTCATTTACGTATATTTAGTGGGGTGGCGATCAAGAAAACATAATGTTGCTAAAAATTGGCAGATATGACCAAGGAAGAATGGAGGAATGGATTTGACGGATAGCATAGCCAGTCAGTAAGATAGATAACACACAACGGAGAGAGAGAGAGAGAGAGAGAGAGAGAGAGAGAGAGAGAGAGAGAGAGAGAGAGAGAGAGAGAGAGAGAGAGAGAGAGGGAGAGAGAGGGAGAGGGAGAGAGAGGGAGAGAGAGAGAGAAAGAGAGAGAGAACAGTACCAGCACTTGCTGCGTGAATTGTTTGAAACGTCAATCTGTGATGGAGCAAACAGAGAATACGGCACAGCCACGAAGACGATCACATAACAGTATACATCGGAGGCAAAATAGATTTGATACATGCATATGAACACACACACACATACACACACACACACACACATATACACATACACCTAAATCCACACTCATGCACACAATTTTAAATAAATTTCAGGCGTTTAAAGGTGTGGCTAACACTCCGCAAAATATGGTACATACTTCAGTATCAGCAAGAGTACATGAAAACCAGAGTGTGCAGCTTGGGGCCTTTTCTGCTATGGGTGTCTGTCACGGCGGAATTCCGTGATTACATCATATTTGGCGCAGATCTGAGGCGGGAAATGGCGTAGTGCGTACAACCTAGCTGCAGTTGTGCAGAAAGAGACCCGCTTGAATCCTGCTTGTACGCACTACATCACTAAAATGATGTAATCACGGAATTTCGCCGTCGTGACAGCAACCCATCCGAGCTGCACACTCTGGTTTTCATGTACTCTTGGTATCAGTAGATGTGCTCCAAATTTCCAGTCGTAAGGAACTTTTACTTTTCTCCAATTTGATTTACGGACAATGGACACCTCATCAGCATACTTTCTATCACAGCTGGGACAATATTTTATTGGAAACAAAATATCACTGCCAAACGAGAGACGTACGTTTCAACGACCTATTCGGAATTCAGGTAGTGCAAGAACTCAACCAACCTACCGTTTACACATGATCCTGCCGTGGCAGAAGCTGGTTCATCTTGTCGACCTTGTCGGGATATTGACCCCAGCGTTTGATGACCTTCACCAGCTTGATGTAGCCGGCCTGTTCCTCGCTGCGTACAATGTTGACCAACTCCTCGTTGTGAGTGCGTGGTCCACGCCGTTCCTCAATCCTCTTCAAGTCTTCTATCTGCTCCAGATCGGCGAAGAACCCGGCCTCTTGCGCCATCTTACGAAATGTTCCCGCTGGTAATTTGCCCAACCAAGGCGAAATATCGGTTAGAAACGCACGCTGTTGGAATGGGTCGCCGTACGACTTCTCATCCTCACCTAATCAAGGTATACAAGGGATAAAAAACACACACATGAACAAACAGAGAAAAAAATGATATTTGACCAGCCATACACGATAGGTTAACACAGGCAGGTTCTAGAGGGTCGATGTGCATCACTCCAGTCTGGACCTGTACATCATCAGTGGTTGATCTAAGTACGCTTATACCATGGCAATGGCTAACCTGGCAAGAATTCTTGGCATCTAAATCACTGTTGTGCTACATGCATGTGGCTCCATTTCAGTATGCCATGTATACTTTTATACACACCACACACTGTATCTAATATACACATACCCAATCTACGGACAGAACTGTTTCGTCCTTTGGGGACTCGTCAGCATACACAAACGCATACTGTATAAGCATAATGCATGTTGTACAGATGAACAGAATTCCGTAGAATCTTGTAGAATCCCGTAGCCCCTGTTGGGTGTTGAATGTGAAGAACCCTATTGTGTTTACAGCTATTTCCACTGTAGGGGATCCTGGTGCTGCTGTTGCAGCTGCTACTGGTGATACTGCTGCAGCTGAAGTTGCCACTGCTAGTGCTACTGCTGCTGATACTGATGAAGGTTCTACTGCTACTGCTGATGCTAGTGAAGGTGCTACTGGTGATGCTGCTACTGCTGCTGATGCTGGTGAAGGTGCTACTGGTGATGCTGCTACTGCTGCTGATGCTGGTGAAGGTGCTACTGGTGATGCTGCTACTGCTGCTGATGCTGGTGAAGGTGCTACTGGTGATGCTGCTACTGCTGCTGATGCTGGTGAAGGTGCTACTGGTGATGCTGCTACTGCTGCTGATGCTGGTGAAGGTGCTACTGGTGATGCTGCTACTGCTGCTGATGCTGGTGAAGGTGCTACTGGTGATGCTGCTGCTGAAGGTGCTACTGGTGATGCTACTGGTTGAACCACAAAATTAGTATACTTGGACGTCACCGAGAATGTTCAAATACAAAGGAAATTTAGGCCACCCGCCTCACGCTCATTTTTTCCGAAAATGGCCCGCAATCGAACGGCTCCTACACTCCCAGATAATAAGGTTGACTGTAGAACTACTTCAAACTACGTTTACTCATAATTCGCTACATACACACGGCTAAAACTCTGCCGTATCCTTACTGGAGAAAATATATTCACAACCCGGTATCATTGAAATACACATGAATCGCGGTGTCCTAAAGCAACCAACCTCTCTCGTCGCCTTTCTCCTCTCCACCGATGAACGGTTCAATCGAGCTAACAAACGCATGCCGGTTGGCAATCTGATCAAGTGTCTTTCCACTGCAGTGCAGAGTGGTATACAGAACAAAACAGCACAAAAAACCAAAAAATAGAAACAGGTCCACGTTCTAGGTAGGGCCGTAACAGTAGAGCCTCCCTCGGTGGACACGGTAGAGTGCCCCCCCCCCCCCCCCCCATGTGGACAGTAGAGTGCCTGCCCCCCCCCCCCCCCAGTGGACAGTAGAGCCCCCCCCCCCCCCCCCCCCCCCAGTGCAAAGTGCCTGCCCCCCCCCCCTCCCAGTGGACAGTAGAGCCCCCCCCCCCCCCTCCCCGTGGACAGTAGAATCCCACCTCGGTGGAATGTGGAGTCTTGAAATGCAATGCAGCATTTTGTGATCAAAAAGCCCCCCCCCTCACAAAATGTGCAGGCAGCGTGTTGTCAGTGTTTCCATTACCCTGAACGCTTCGTTAATGAAAGCGGCTGATTGGTCCGCTCCAAGGCAACGTATTTGACCTATTTATATTATAAACCTGCGAGGAAAGCCTTTACTAACCCAATGGCACCAAGTGACATGAATTCAGCGTCGTGAACACCGCTTCCACCAGCGCTGTGATGACCGCTTCCACCAGCACCTTGACCACCACTTCTACTGCCCACACTGGCACAGGCTTCTGCTGCAAGCCAACAGACGGCATGCCATTGGAGTGGCCAAGAGACATGCACACGCACACACACGCACACACACCCACGCACGCACACACACGCACACACACACACGCACACACACGCACACACACACGCACACACACACGCACACACACACACACACACACACACACGCACACACACACACACACACACACATGCAGATGCAACGTATACATGTACACACACACGGTTTGTTGCAGAAGTTTATTGTCGCCACTGAAACAAACATGGTTCATTTCATACTCGGACGGACCCCTCACTCCTCCAAAATGAACACAGTTTGCAATGCTGGACACCATAAATCAAGTGCATGTACACGTAGTGCATTGTTGAGCAAGTTACGAATTTCGACCTCCCACCCTCCTCCTCCTCTACCACGGACGATATTCGCTTCAGGGCGACAAAATATGACAGCGACCCCATAGCCATTCTATGACAATGTAATGTCAGTTGTCCAGGGCCCAAAACAGAGTCAGAACTGCAGTGTTGGCTGGGATCAAACACCAGCTTGCGGTGAGAAGAGGCTCAAATTTTACATTCTATCCACAGCAGATATGGTCCTGTGCTCATGCCGTGTTCAATACCCGAACGGGAATAGGTAACTCAAAACGAAAATAGAACAGCGTACCGGTTTCCTTGCGACTAAAGGTTCACACGAATGCGGCGATCATGCAAAACATCATTTGGAAGTACCAGATCTGTTTGTATTGTGCATCCAACTAACCTGAAGGAAGAGAGGCCGATCTCGGGTCAAACAGCTTTCCACATGCATCCTGTAGGTATTGCAAGAGACCAAGTACACGCAAGCACATGCCCACGCCCACACGCACACGCCCGCACACACACACGCCCACCCGCACGCACACACCCGCACGCGCACACACCACACACACACACACATACATGTAAATACACACGAGCAAAAGCACACATGCATGCAAACACGCACACGCACAAGCCATAATCGCTGAAGTCAGAGTAGGCTCAAAATGGTTATCTCCTCATTAACATGACGGGAATATGTGGCAAGTTTTAAGAAAATAGAGACATGGTGCAACTTTGTGTGTGAAGAACTCTCGTCCTAAACAGAGATAAACAGAATTACAACAAGGCCTAGTGGAACTTGTCTCATGGTTCGTGCCCCCCCCCCCCCCAAAAAACATATGAAGTAAAGCTAGCGGCAGGCGCTACTAACGTAACGTTTATTGCATAGCTGCGGGAATTCAATCAGGTCAAGTTTCTAACCTGGTCAAGGCCCAGCCAGAACATGGCCTGCTCACGGATCATCTGTATATCCGGATTTGAACGTGTACACAGTGGGTAGTCTTCAGCCACTAGGGTGGAAGCGTCCAAGGCGTGCGCACAGCTTGGCGCGCGGCACGTAGATAAGCCATGCTGTAAACACTCCTCGCCCGATGTCTCTCCGCAGGGGCATGGCAATGTGCTGATCACTTCGACCTGCAGGCCCCACTTCCGTACCACTGTGAGCACGATTGCCCGGACTTCATCCAGCGTAGACTTTCCGCTACCGCCGTGTCGGCCCTTGCACTCGACGTACACTTGTAAGCCGTAGCGTGTATAGTGCAGGTGCAGCCACGGCCAATCTCTGTTCCAGCGAAGGCGAACGCTGCACCGTGACAGTGTGGCAGCCGAGCGCTTGTGTGACTTAAGCAGCACCTCCACCACGCATTGCCAATACAGGAACACGGGAAAGTGCATCAACTCATCTCGGTTTGTGTGCTTCATGGACACATAGGCACAGGAACAAGGCGTTTGCGGGTCCGTGCCCATCTCCAGGACGACTGCAGGTACAATAAACTCGTGCTCAGCAGACCTCTCATCCTGCACAATTACCAGGACTGAGAGCCATTCTAGGATTTCAAAAATGAGCCTGAACCCATCACTGCTTGCTCTGACTGCTTGCCACGCCTTAGCATGGTCGCAGTAAGACTGACCCTCGAACATCTTGTTGAGAGCTTTGCGTGCCAGGGACTCCGTCATGAACCCAGAACGATAGCACCGCGCTTCGTGCACTGTGATGTCTCGGTCAGGCTTCATGTAGACAAAGGCATTGACACAGTCCAGGATGAACTGGGGCTCCAGGATGACCGTGTCTTTCAGCTTGAAAGTTGGGAAGTACGCCAGGTGGCCTGCTTCGTGGCAGTACTTCAGCAGCAGCTGTATTTGCCGGTCACTGCAGTCATGTGGAACAGCCTTGACTTGCTTCGCTATGAACTTTGCCTCCTTGAAGGAAATCCAAGGCCAAGTGACCTCCTGCTTGAGCGTGTGTATGGATATGCAGAATCGGAGCCATGGAACAGGGATGTTACGTTGGCTCTTCTGGCAGCGGTCGATGATGGCCTCTCTCAATCGCTGCAGCTCATCTGCTTGTCCTGCACTTCCAGTGGATCTGGTGTTGTCGATTTTGAAGTGCGAAGTGTCGTTCCAGACAAGGTTCTGGTACCGCGTACCTTTTATCTTCTCTTGAAGTAGCTTACAAGGATCAGGCAAATCGGTTTTGTTCCACCTGTCACTCTGACACCCCACTACAAACACATCATCTGCAGCACTCTGGTCTGTGCTGCTGTCAGCTTTCGCATTCAGCAGCAGCATGTCGAGCCAGCCGAGCAGCTGGTCTAGGCGAGTCGCATTGGCCGGTAGAGTGGCCCGCTCGATACATTCTTCCCGGCTGACCTGAAATTCATCGAACTTGGGAAGGGTCTCTAGAAGATCCAGAGAAGAGTTGTATGTGGCAATGAAGGCTGTGTTTTTGGCCATGAAGAGGGGCTGTACGGATTGGTAGACTTCTTGCCCTCCAAGGTCGCGGAATGTGATGACGGTATAGTTGGGCGTGTTGGCCCGGTCAGAGATGTACTTTACCCGGTCTGCGTTGAGAAATCCTGTGATGGTCTCGTGGATTTCCTCGCGCATTGCTGGCCCGTTGCTGCTGCTTCTGCTGCTGCTGCTACTGCTGTCCTCCATAGGTCCTGCATGGGTCCCAGCCACAGGATCCTCTCCTGCTGGGGCTCTCTCTCTGTCATCTTGTGTTGTCTCTTTGTCTTGGGGATGATTCGAAGTGGATGGTTTGCACATCATGGTGATGACGTAGAGTCGACTCAGAGCATCTGGCATGTCTGGGCATTCGATGAATCGACAGTCATCAGAGATGTTTGTAGTTGCGTAGGACGTGCGCATGCCGGGTGTGCTGAGTTCATTCTCATTGTGCATCTTCTCAAGCAACGCCTTCAGCAAGCTGGTCTTTCCAACGCGTGCCGCACCAAGTATTACCACGTGCAGGAAATGGATGACGGTCGTACCGCCCAACCGGGCTGCCTCCTGCTCTGCTGCTTCGAGTTCACTGATACTTGGCAGAACAGCAGTATCTCCTGGGCACAACGATAAACACAGCACACATCAAAAATGTTGTGTAACTGCAGGTGACATTTACAGGGGCGGATCCAGAGATCTCTACAGGGGGGTTCCGGTTGAACCAAAATTGAACAGCCAAAATATTAGGGCTGAAACGAATGCTCAATGAAGCGAACGAATATTCTTTTTCCGAATACATGCGAAACGAAGAATATTCCGAATATTCTAAACCGTGCAATTTCCATGGATACCTAGTTTTATCCATGGTAACCATAGACCATTAATTGGCATACACCCCAATTACAAGAGAGACATTTGAAAAATCATGTGTCTTGCTGATTATAGCACATCGAAAAAGGCAAGCCTACTTATATTTTGCACCAAATAACCTTGATCGATGTCAAAAAGGCGAGTTTCTGTACAATATTCCTATTCTACTTTAACGAAGATTATTCTTTTTCCGCTTTGCATATTTCGAATATTCGAATAATTCGAATATTCCTTTCAGCCCTACAAAATATTATGGAATCAGATTGTTTTGAAGTTGTGCGGTTGACACTAAGTTGTAATTACGACAATCCGATTGTGTTAGTGGCAATCGCATGCTTTTAAACACACACTACGGACATACTTAGTACCGTAAAGTACCGCCAGAGCACCCCGTCTACCACACACCGCTGGAAACTGAGTCGGAGCGCAGTTGTGGTGCGGTGGACGATGGAAAACCTGTGCAGGGCCAAATGCTGCTGCTTACCCTACATTGTATATTTTTTAGTACGGACACATAATCATATACATGTATGCAACCGACTGGCACACCGGTTCAGTGAGGGCTTGAAGACCCTTTCAACTTCTTGTAAAGATCGAATATGCAAGCCATGGGTACGTTGAGAGCCAGGAATGCCGAAATGACAACTATAAGTTACTTTCCCTGTCCATTTGTACTTTCGGAAATTTTTGGCATTTTACGATGCGAAATGCTCTATAGTCACAGGACAAGAGCATCGTCTTCACTTCAGTGACAGAAACAACAACAGCGAAACAGTGTCGACAATAATTATTGTACAATCCTTTCAATGTCATCTAAAACACATCGCTGGCGCAGCACTCCGTTCCTGCGGAGGAACAACTAGTCACTACTGCATGCTGCAGCAGGTAGAGATTACTGACTTTGCTTGGATGTCGGAGCCCTCATCTTCTGAGGAGCTTGAACTCTACGTGTACGGTTCGAAGATCGTTGAAGAGTTTCAGTACTCGGAACATCTTTTCTCTTCTGCAAAAAACTTGTCCAAGGAATACTGACCACACCACACCCATCCCGAGCAGCAGTGAATGACAGCGCCAATGGAGGCAAGTAATTAGTTTGGATCGTTTCGAAAGATCAAAAAGGAAACAGCCACCCAATGTTGTTTACACAACAGTGTCCGTTTGTAAATCACGGACGTGAACACCAGTACAGACTACTATCCGTACAGACTGTCAGTATCGATCTACCGCACGCGCTCCTTGACTCAGTGACTGCACTGACTGTGAATCTGATCGGACGGACGTCCTTTTGTGCACAATGATATTTTTCGATATTTCTCAGCCGCACACTTTGCAAAATTTAGGGGGTTCCATGGAACCCCCGGAACCCCCCCCCCCCCCCCTGGATCCGCCACTGATTTACAGTTTGTTGTTTATTTTGTATTACTAACAAGAAATCATACAGTACAGGCAACAGGAATGCAAAATAAGTGAGAGTGCATCTTCACTGCATGCACTCGTATTATGAGAAAGCCCGCTTGAGTCCCGATTTTACGGTGTGTCTGAAAGGCATTGCTTCCCGCACAATAACCACTCCATCACCAGAATATTGGCAGACAGGAGACACCTGTTATGGTGTTGCTACAGTTGAGGCACTGGGTTTTAGAGTCCAGGGGCGTCACACACGGTACCACCAGTACCACCATGCTTGTACCACTTTTCGCACCGGATGCTGCGCCCAATTCATCCAAAAAACAAGCAATAAAAGAGCACTAAAATGTGCCCTGTTCACCCAATAATCACTATTTACCAGTGTTGCAAAGAATAGCAAATCACGAACGAATATTCTAACAAATATGCACAGCACGAACGAATATTCTACTATTCTACCCATACAGACGAGCCCATTTCAGCACACTATGCTTCCTTGTTTATTTGAGCCAGCGCGTGCTAAGACATGACCACAGCTTTTGTGGAAAAGTCGAGAAAACGCGATTTGAATTCCGCGACAAAAAAATACAAAGTTCTCCTCGGTAGACTGGACTGTTCTGGATGTAACTCTTTGTTGCAAGTACATGAAAATTTATTCGTTTCAGTTTGGATTCCATGTTGCACTGAGTCTCCTAAAATGGATCGTCAACGATGTATCGAAGGAAGACCCTAATATACTTCGGAGCGGAAGAAGACGACATCCTCGGGTTCCATGCGCAGGATTAACTATTTTGTGGACTTGCGAAGGAAACAGAAGTCTCAAGTCTCTCAAACTCTCCCACACGGAGCTAGCTTTACGATCCAACATCACGGATTTCTACCGACTCGAAACTAAGCAAAGCGGACTGATACGATTCGAAACTAACCAGGAACTGCTACAAACTACGAAGAAGAACATAAGTATTTCTTGCGAAGGTGCAAGCTACAAACGGCGCGTAAGTCAAACTGGGCAGCATTAGCGGTAAGCGACAATATGTGGACGATGTCGTTTGCTGCTCAATTGCAGTGACTGTTGCACATTCTACGATGCAAGAACGCAGCGAGCGTGCTGCGATGAGCGAATTTAGCCTTTGTACGGAAAGCTGTACACAAAGTGTAGCATTTCGAACATTCGACTTCTGACTCGCACGTTCGAATATTCTGTGCAGCGCAAAAAAAACAAGATGTTCAATTATTCGAATATTCGCTGCAACACTGCTATTTACCCTCGGGCTTTTTTGATGCCATTCAACGAAACGTGTAGTGGATAGTCACTACTGGAGGATTCATAAAGGCACATTTGTCTGTTGTGAAGTCGGGGGTTTGCCCCGTACATTGAATTTTGCATGGCAAGACAAATTCGGAAAATGCAAAAATTGGTTACGGGGTAACTGTTTCCCATGCCCCCCCCCCCCCCCCCCTCCTACTATTTTGACCTGGCTAGAACCCTGCCATCATATCTTCATGCTAATGGTACTACTTGGGGACATACAGCTCTATTGCTTCCAACTGGACATTTGCTTCGTTAGTTGCTGCTCATCATGAGCAATTTGCTGCTAGCGGCCTAGCATTGCTTGCCAGCTCTTCGAGCTCTTGCATTACGAGACCATTTACTCGAAGTAACACATTGTCTCCAAAGCCAGTTCTTGTTGCCCTGACTGAGTGTGAATATGTGAGGGATTGGATGCTAAATAGTATTCCAACCAGTGATGCACACTAACCCAGTTTTCAAGAACGAATACTCTATCAAATACCAAATCTGGCAACGAACGAATATTCTAGTATTCGTTGAAATTGTTGACGGCCCAGAAACTTCTGCATTGCGTCTGCGCTTTTCGCCTGGGACACCTTCGCATCCGTGGCAGCTACAGCCGTCGAGCAAGTAACATGCCGTCGGGGAAGATTATCCCGCATTGAGCTCGTAGCCGAGCCATTGAACTCGAGCTTCGTCTCGCAGAGTTTGCATTCAATGTTTGCGCCTCCATCAACTTTCTCGGAGTGCTCCTAAACGGAGCTGCTATGACCAGCTGTGCCAGAAGCCATCACAAAAAACGAACTGGATGTCCAGGCGGTTCTTCAACGTGAAAGAGAGGGGTGAGTTGGACCGAACTAAAGTAGTAAAGAAGAAGGCATTATGGGTTCCCACTTCGCAACAGTACAGTGCACGCACTGTACTCGTACAACTACACGTGTCCTTTGCAACTGTACTACAGTGCCGGCACTGTATTGTTACTACTACTAACTGTTTGGCGCGCGCTCACACAGGCTGGATTCGTCGTCAAGTACACGTACGGTAACCGCTGTACTGTAATCTGTAGCAGCGGCCCTAGCTCTACTGCCGTTAGCGCAGGGTCCACATGTACTCGTACAAAACTAGCATGCATGCCACACATAGAACATGATTGTACAGCTCTTCAAACGAACTTTATTACTATTCGACTATTCGTGTGCATCACTGGTCATTCGTAACTTTTTGGCGGAAAAGAAGTTTGAGAATTGATTTGTCACTTACCTGCTTGCAGCTGCTTGGCCTCCTTCATAGAGAGTCAGAAAAAAACAGAGGCACAAATCACACATATTTGTTTAACATGCTCTCTCTCTCTCTCTCTCTCTCTCTCTCTCTCTCTCTCTCTCTCTCTCTCTCTCTCTCTCTCTCTCTCCCTCTCTCTCTCTCCCTCTCTCTCTCTCCGTCTCTCTCTCTCCGTCTCTCTCTCTCCGTCTCTCTCTCTCTCTCTCTCTCTCTCTCTCTCTTCCTTAGTTCCGTATCGTATTTTCCGGAACATAAGCCGCAATTTAAGCACTCGTAATCCCCCCCAAAATAAATGTCGGTGTGGCTTCTACTACCATGGTGAAATGAACTGTGATATACAGGATAGATGTTGGTTTTTCGTCACAAAGATGACAGAACAAAAATGACAGGACAAAGATGAACCTAGAGCAGTAGAGGCAACGAGATGAACAAGGAACTCACGGCACAGAGTAAGCGCGAATTTTCTGGTTTCAGACCTTGTATTTTTTTGGAAAATACCAGGGCATTTCAATTTAGCGCGGGGCACGCGGGATGGGCATAAAAAAGTGCATGGACCTCAGCTTTTCAGAGCAGTAAGAATTGTGAAAATCGGTTGAGTTTGAGCAAGAAGCTGAAAAAAATGCTAGACTGAGTTGTTGTGGCGTTTCCAAGGCATGATAGGAGAGTTTGGAAAGGACATGGAAGTGGCCCTGATGTGCCTATGGAGCTGAGAGTTGTCAGGATGGATTTGTTTGAAATTGTAACATGCATTATACAGTATGACAGGATATACAGGCAGGAGCTGTATAGGCTGAATTTTAATGGGGCCGAAAAGGATTTTGGCCTGCGGATGCTGAAATTTAAACCGTGCTGATAATTTGTAGACTTACAGTATCCAGTGTCCAGTATCACAGTAGTAGATATCAAACTCAACTCACTTACTAAAGCCACAAGTCGCCAAGATACTCAAGACAAGATGCAAACTGGAATAATTCACTGCAGCTGGTTGTCGTCGCAGTGATTTCCAAGTGTCCATTGTACACAGCACGTTCAACATAGTGCTTGCATTTAGCTCCAACTCTGGCAACAGAGCGACAGGCGAAGCCCTATCCATTTATCAGCTGGGCCGTGCGGATGCGACTTTGCGTTTGACATGGGAGTGGCTACACATTTCCCCTGTTACTAGTGCAGCAGTTATGCCGCGCCCATCATCGTCATCCCACCCCAGTTGTCGTTCAGGACCGTACATGTTCGTCGAATCAGTGTTGAAAGAGCAGCGGTTGTTACTGCTGGGCAGATGAAATGGCCCATCCACTACGCGGGCCATACCGCGTCGGAACCATTGTTATGTCATGGTTCGCGAGTTGCGCAAACGCTTGGCAATTTGGCCAGAGCAGTTCGTTAGAAATCGTGGCCAGAGCAGTTCGTTAGAAATCGTGACCAACGTTATCAGAAATCTCGGTGGCAGTTCCGAATTCACCCCCGCGTCTCCAGAGCAGACTTGATAGCGTAGCTGGTCATCCGGAAGACCATTTATCAGTCGGGTTGGTACTTGTTCATCGGATCACTGCTGGCAGAGCAGCTGTTGCTACCGCTGAGGGGACGAGACGCCCCAGCTGCTGCGCGGGCGTGCCGTGGGGAACATTCGACAATCCACGTAACGAACGGAGAGCAGTTTTCAATGCCTCCGAATTCTGACTGCCCACTACAAGGTGCATTGGTGCACCCAGCCCCGCAGGTTCTGACACCACCGTCGCCTGTGGGTGACATCGAATAGCGGCAGCAAATTGCTTTCTGTTGATATGGTTGGTCATTACTCACTACCTACCCTTGCCCCGCCGGGGGCAAGTCATGGTTGCCGTGTGCACGCACGCATTCATGCCGACGTATCTGTGCCTGCCATGCTATACTTTCTGTCCGGCATATGTTGAACAAAAAATGCCTGCGTGCCCCTTTTGAGGCCCGATCAGTGCATTATGGCTTGTGCTTCCATTTACACCACAGTCACCACCGGCCTATGAACTCGCTGGTTGACGCTTTGTTCTGGAGTCTAGTTTTGTTTGCATTGAGCACCTCATTAACAATTCATTCGCGCGGCGGCCTCCCGCATCAACTCTATGGCTCACTGGCCGAGAGTGAGATGGCACCTTGGTGTGGTGATAAGACGTTGTATATCTTGACGCTGTGCACATAACATTGCCTCGCCAGGACTACCAGTATGCTGGCTGATAGCGTGGGCAACCCACCCTCTCCTGGATTGACCATCAGTCTACTATCGTCGCCTCGTTCGGTGTTACCTGGGCCCTTCTCTTTTGGGGAAACTTGGCCAACAAACGTAATGTGCTCAAAGGCTCGCTGACAATGATGTGCAAGTTTACGCCAACAACCATTACGCGTCCCACCAAGATAAATCGGGCAGGAGGAAAGTGCGCTATGGCTTGGATCCCCAGCTTGCACGTGCATACGCACCAGATGTGATCTGGAGGCGCATTATGCATGGCTCAGCGCCGGGCAGGCTAGTAGCCAATAGAATGAGCTAGCCTGGAACTGATGGCCACCGTTTGCGCTTTCCCAGGCCAGTATCAGTGTTAGTGATTGGTATGTGGGCCAACGCCAGCATCTTAGAGCAGTGTGAGTGCGTAGTCCGCAGGTATGGCAGTGGTGAGGATATGGACGTGTGCTGTGTGCTGTGCATATGTGGATGTGCACGTGGCAGGCGCGTATGCTATCGTGTGAAGTAATGGATGAGGTGCAGAAGTGCAGGTGGTGAGAGTTTGTGGCTACTGCTAGAGTGGCTAAGGCGAAAGCAGCCATCAGGGCGGGGCAAGATGGCCTGTTTGCTGGTACGGTATGTGCTTTTCTAGGCCGACAAGCTGTATGCGGTGTTGGCGACGATCGGGCCAGTAAGTGGGCTCACACGAGCAGCTTGTGGTGGTCTACGGGCATCTATTCTCTGTCACATGAATGTGAGGCGGTCGAGAGAACGCTGGTGCGTGCTTATGAGCGTGTGTGCGTGATGGTGGTGTGTGCGTGGTGGTGGTGTGTGCGTGTGTGTGTGTGTGTGTGTGTGTGTGTGTGTGTGCGACGTGCATGTCGGTGTGTGTGTGTGGGCGTTCTTGGCGAGCTTGTATGAGGTTATACGCATGTGTAGGAAGAGAATATACGGATGTCTAAGAGGCGAGAGAGTTCTCGTGAATACTGTGAAAGCCACAGTTTATACTGCTTTGCTAGCCGGTACCGTGTACCCTGGTCAGAGCAATTCATGAGGTAGCGGCGGCATCATATGATTATGCATAGGTATAATGCTGAGGGTACGAATACACCTTCCGTAGTGGGGGTGCCATGGCTTCTACGTTTATCATCTTTTTAGGTGCAAGCGGGCATCATATCGTATGCGTGTGGTGTGACGCCTAATGCCAGGCAGTTGTGTGAGTTCTTGGCCTCGATGGTCGTTCGTTTGCCCTCGCTGGGCAGTATAATTTCGGCCCGAGCGGGGAGTTTGCTTTTCCCTTGGCAGGCAGGTTGTCGGCCTCGGTGGCTGTTTGTTTGCTCAATAGGCAGTATGATTCAGCCCTCAGTGGCTGTTTGTTTGCTCAATAGGCAGTATGATTCAGCCCTCGGCGGGCAGTATATAATAGGCCCATGGTGGGCAGCATGCTTTGGCCCTCGGTGGGTACTACGCTTTGGCCCTCGGTGGGTACTACGCTTTGGCCCTCGGTGGGTACTACGCTTTGGCCCTCGGTGGGTACTACCCTTTGGCCCTCGGTGGGTACTACGCTTTGGCCCTCGGTGGGTACCACGCTTTGGCCCTCGGTGGGTACTACGCTTTGGCCCTCGGTGGGTACTACGCTTAAGCCCTCGGTGGGCAGGCTATTGGCCTCGACTTCCGTTGTGCGCCCTCGGTTGGGTGGAATGCTTTAGCCTTCGGTAGATAGGTTGCTGGCCTTGGCGGCCGTTCGCGCGACCTCAATTGGGCTATACGCTCATTCTTGCGCCCTCGGTCGGGCTATAATCATGTGCCCTCGATCTGGCTATAATCGTGCGCCCTCGGTCGGGCTATAATCATGCGCCCTCGGTTGGCCTATAATCATGCCACTCGGTCGGGATAACCATGCGCCCTCGGTCGGGCTATAATCATGCGCCCTCGGTCGGGCTATAACCATGCGCCCTCGGTCGGGCTATAACCATGCGCCCTCGGTCGGGCTATAATCGTGCGCCCTCGGTCGGGCTATAATCGTGCGCCCTCGGTCGGGCTATAATCGTGCGCCCTCGGTCGGGCTATAATCGTGCGCCCTCGGTCGGGCTATAATCGTGCGCCCTCGGTCGGGCTATAATCGTGCGCCCTCGGTCGGGCTATAATCGTGCGCCCTCGGTCGGGCTATAATCGTGCGCCCTCGGTCGGGCTATAATCGTGCGCCCTCGGTCGGGCTATAATCGTGCGCCCTCGGTCGGGCTATAATCGTGCGCCCTCGGTCGGGCTATAATCGTGCGCCCTCGGTCGGGCTATAATCGTGCGCCCTCGGTCGGGCTATAATCGTGCGCCCTCGGTCGGGCTATAATCGTGCGCCCTCGGTCGGGCTATAATCGTGCGCCCTCGGTCGGGCTATAATCGTGCGACCTCGGTCGGGCTATAATCGTGCGCCCTCGGTCGGGCTATAATCGTGCGCCCTCGGTCGGTCTATAATCGTGCGCCCTCGGTCGGGCTATAATCGTGCGCCCTCGGTCGGGCTATAATCGTGCGCCCTCGGTCGGGCTATAATCGTGCGCCCTCGGTCGGGCTATAATCGTGCGCCCTCGGTCGGGCTATAATCGTGCGCCCTCGGTCGGGCTATAATCGTGCGCCCTCGGTCGGGCTATAATCGTGCGCCCTCGGTCGGGCTATAATCGTGCGCCCTCGGTCGGGCTATAATCGTACGCCCTCGGTCGGGCTATAATCGTGCGCCGTCGGTCGGGCTATAATCATGCGCCCTGGGTCGGGCTATAATCATGCGCCCTCCGTCGGGCTATAATCATGCAGCGGGCAGGTTGCCGGCCACGTCGGCCATTTGTACGCCCTCTGGTCTAACATCAAATACTATTATATTTAATATCTTTAATCAAATTGAA